TTGCTTGGCCAGGACTGCAGGAAAAGGTTCCGCTATCTAATTGCTCAAGATGTGTGACTTCACCCAGGAGCGGGCCGCAATTTCAGGAGGCCTTCCAGCTGTCTGACTGAACAGGCCATGGCAAGAGCTGGTCCAGCCAGTGTGGGCACGTGCTGAGGGCCCTGGGCCAGAACCCCACCCTACCTTTTCCTGTGTGAGATTTTGCTGAAAGCCTCGTCAGCTGTCACGACACCTTTCCTATCTTATCTCTAAATAAACATGTTCTCTATGCCCAAAATAAAACGAACTAAAAACCATACAGGGTTGCTTGACTTTTTGTTATTGAATAGCAATAACTCTTTATATATTGTGGACACATGTTTGTGTTGCCTCCTTTCCTTCCTCTGCGCCTCAACAGCTCCAACTCTTGTCCAGCCCCCTCTTCACAAACTAGGATCCCTGCCCCAGTCTCCACCTTTTCCCTCCCAGCCACCTTCAATTCTGCAGCTGAAGGGGTCTTCCTAAAGCACAAATCTGTATCTGCTCCTCTACTGCTCAAATCAGCTATGTCTCCCTAGTGTCCTTGACAGGAGATCTAGCCCCTGTAATCTGGAGTTCAAGTGCTTGTAGAATCTGGCCCTGCTGACTCCACATCTTTTTGTTCTAGCCACTATGAACTTCTGGCTTTCTCAGTTCCTGCAACACTCTGCCTACAAATAAATCTTTACTAGTTTCTTGGCCTTTGATGCATCTCACATTCTTTTTATTCCCTTTATACTATCTAGTTCTCCTCTAAGGAGATTTGGTAGCACAGCACTTAAAGAATCTGGCTGTTAACCTAAAGGTTAGTGGTTTGAACCCACCAACTACATCTTGGAAGACAGTTTGCTTCTGTAAAGATTTACCATCTTAGAAACCTTATGGGAAATTCTGCTCCGTCTTCCAGGGTTGTTATGAGTCGGAGTAGACTTGATGGCAATAGAATCGTGATCACCTGTCCTTGACTCCAGGAAGCCTCCCTGGATTCCTAGGCCAGATCAGTACCCCCTTCTGGGCTTGTTTGTCCTATGGCTGGGGATTGCTTTGTGTCCCCCACTGGGCTGTGAACTCTAGAAGGCACTGCCCAGGGCTCCCTGGGTGCACAGTAGGTATTTAGAAAATTTTGTTGAGTTAAGCAATTAAGTGGTGGGTTAAACTAACAGAAACATCAGAGGTTCAAATCCACCAATGACTTTGCAGGAGAAGGGCGAGGCAGTCTGCTTTCATAAAGATTTATAACCTTGGAAACCCCAAGGGGTTCTTCTACTCTGTCTTATAGGTCATTAAGACTTGGGACCAATTCAGTAAGTGTGGGTTGCCTCTGAGGTTAAGAAATGAATGGATTCCACCCAGCAACAACTTTCCCAGTTTATTAATTCATGAAGGTGTCTGACTATTCTCTGAACCCACACTTCTATTCCCAGAGTGCTTGCTGGTATGCAAATAAGGGAGAACTTGGATTTTTGCAATGGGGTGACTCAGCTGTACTTTTGGGTGGACAAAATGGCAACACATTTTGTTTATGGTTAGATATGCTTCAGTATGTTTATAATGTGGAAATGGCCGCATTATTTTAAAAAAATAGGTGAGAAATAGAATGTCAGTGTAATGTGATCACTATTCTTGTGATTCATATAGCCCTGAGCTACAACAAATAGTCCTGTTAAAAAAGGTAACAAGCATGTATATTTCATAACCCCCCCTCCTTTTGGCTTCAGGAACTAATAGGATTTTAGTCTCTACTACAAACTTGACATAAATTCCACTTTTGATATTTTTTGCTCAAGCTATTCCTTCAAAATTTCTTTAGTACTTCAACACATCCCTACTATTATTAGTTCCTTTTGAGTCTGTTCCAGTGCATGGCAAGCCATGTGTGTCCGAATAGAACTGCAGTCCATTGGGTTGGGATGGTTGGTTGGTTGGTTATTTTTATGGCACTTTGAGTGAAAGTTTAAGGACAAATTGCTTTTCTATTCAGCAATTCAAACACATTTTGTTTTGTGACATTGCTGACAATCCTCACAATGTAACAGCACTCTCCCCAGTTCCTCCCTGTGTTTCCTATTTCCATGCATCCTTTTTTCTTACCTCTTCCTGCCTTCTGAGTTTTATCTCTGGGCAAATGCTGCCCTTTTGATCTTGTTGGTTGGCTTGCTTGTTTTAATGGAGTTCATTCCTCCCTGGTGTTATCGATCGCCTTATGGTCTACAGTTTGAAAATTGAGTCATGTTATTTCAGTTCCAGATTTGAAGGGTGACTAAGGGACTCCAATAGGGTTTTCATTGCTGATTTTTAGGATGTCGACGGCCACGCCTGCCATGAAAAGCACCTCTAGGTGAAGTCAAACTGATAACCTTTCCACTAGTACTTGAGTTCTTGACCATTTGCATCACAGAGAGACTCCCAACGCATTCATAAACCACCTTTCATTATCTGCCACCTTATTTTCTCAGGAACACACCCTAGGGGTATAGTACACTATATGTTAGGCTCCAGTCTGAAAGGTCAACAGTTCGAATCCACCAGCTGCTCATCTAGACAGGCAGTCTTTTCTCAAAGATTTTACAGCTTTGGAAATGGAGTAAGGTCCCCATGAGTGGGCACCTTTTCTAGTAGGAGGCCCAGGCTGTGTGTGTCTGGGAAGTCCTCCTCACAGTCTAACCTCCCTCCAGCCTGCTGTAGCAGCTTCACTAGTAGGAGTTCCAGGGAGTCTATGTGCCAACATACAGTACCCCCCAGCAGCCTAACTTCACTCCCTCATGCTGAAAGGAAGCCAGGTCCTAGGCGTCAGGAGAAAAGAGACACAGACGCTTGGTGGGTGCGTTTTAAGCACTTTTTATTGGAGGGTTGGAACATGGCGACAGTGCAGAACCTTGGAGGGAGGACAGAGGCTCAGTGCCAGTCTGTCCCAGCCTCCGGGTCAGGTGCAAAATACAAAAATAGAATCACAAATACAGCATAAGGGGGGAGAAGGATTTGGGGAGTCTATACCTTGTGGTCAGCAGGGGCAGGCCCCCCTGCTCACAGTCTCACACAGCGCACCCACATTCCTCAAAGATACAGACGGTCAAAGTCTATGATGCCTCAGGTTTCATTTACAAAAAACAAAATCTCATGTCCCCAACAGGCCCAGAAAGAGTCAGCAGAAAGGTGTAGGTGAGGGCCAGTCAGAAAGGATACAGGCAGAAAGAGCCAGAGAAAAAACAGGCAGAGAAACAGAGGGTGAGAAACACTCAGACAGGTAACAGGCTGTCAGAAACAACCATTAGGGGAGAGACCATCAGAATCACTATAGTCTAGAATCCCTGGGTGCTGCAAACAGCTAAACACTCAACTACTAACCAAAAGGTTATCAGTTCGAATCTACCCAGAGGCTCTTTGAAAGGCCTGGCAATCGGCTTCCAAAAGGTCCCAGTCTAGAAAACCCAATGAACGCAGTTCTGCTTTACACACAGGGGGTCACCAAGGCGCACAAGTGCCCCCCAGGCAACCAACTTCAACAGACAGGCTGATTGAGAGTTTCAGAGCAATATTCCCAATTTGAGGACACGCTTGTAAGGGCCAGCGTGACTTAGGCAGAGGCTTTGTGGACGCACTCACACACTCACGCGCACGCGCACACACACACCCAATATATAATATATTTATTTATACATAATAGATATAAGTGCCTTTCGGAAACCAGGACAAGGATAAATAGCTATGGGGAGTCTAGGGGTTTCCACCCGGGCAGGGGATGGGGAGAGGGGGGGCACGTGGAATGTCTTCCATGCAGCACAAGAAGGTGGCGTGCCTACCCCCGATATTAAAAAATATAAATCTGCCTCATGATCGGATTCTCACGAGGTGAAGCACAGGGAAGGCTGGGGGGGCTGGGGGGAGGAGCCAAAACCCAAGATTTGGGGATTTGAAGGCGTTTTGGGGGGGAGGAAGTTGGGATGGTGGGAGCCCAGCCTCTTTGAGTTTGCCAGTCCAAGAAATATTGCGGGGCTGGGCTGGGGAAGGGCAAAGCCTCAGCCTTTAAATCTCCTGAAAATATCAAGCCTCTCCTTGGCCCCCTTCTAGAGGGGACGTGGGGGTGGAAAGGGGAGGGAGAAGTTGGCGTCCTAGGCTGGGGTGGGGGTGGGCTAGGGCTGGGGAGGCGCCTTAAAGACAAAGGCCAGGGCTCTGGGCTGGGGTCCTGAGGAGAGAGGCCACGTAGTCACCTTCCCCTCAATTCTGTCACCCCCTTGCATCGAATTCAACTGTTGCAGAGGAGGAAAGGAGACAGATGGGGACGGAGAGGGGGAGAGACCAAGAAGGTCTGGGGAGTCAGGGGCCACAGTCCCTCCGAAGGGGGGCTCGGTCCCACCCGGGTTCCACCCCACAAGCTGACCGACTCGGTTCACAGTATAAAACACTCCAGCAGGGCAAGCATCACAGCGTCCCCTACTGCCTGAAATCAGAAAGGCCCAGCAAGGAAGGCCACGTGGGGCGGCTGGACGGTGGGCGTGTTGGATGGGGACTAGGGGGCTTGGAATAATACTGTAATCAGAAAGGAGGGCAGGGGGCTGCTGAATTTGAGGGGAGCTCCTCTGAAGGGAAGAAGTTCAGATCAGAGCCAGTTTTGTAGGGAGGGCGCAGCTGGATAATCAGTGAGGGCGGTTCACATTTCAGAGTAAATTGGGGGGATTGTCAGAGAGGACAGACATGCCCCTCAAAGGGATGTAGAAGGTGGCTCAATGCTGCCACTCAGTACAAAGGAGGGTGCAGTTCCATCGAAATGGGGGATAAATAAGGTAAAGTCAGGGAGTAGGGGTGACCCAGGCTAGGCACCCCCTAGAAGGGTAGGCATGAGAGATGCCAAAGGGGCATGGCGCTTCCTCCTTGGGCCTCTCTGGAGGCGACTCCAGTGCACCCGTCCCCCCATCGCCGCACCCCTTCCCCCCCAGCCCCACACAGCACTGCCTCTGGGCAGCATCGCCCCCACCCACCTCCTGTCTCCAGAGATCGAGTTGAGGTGTGCTGGCCAGTAAGTGGCCAGGGCTGTCTTTCCCCTCCCCACCCCACCCCCCACTTGCCCCCAAAGTCACCAGCTCTCCAGTCTCGCCGGGGCACCGAAACAAGAAGTGGCACAAAACACAAGGAGGTCCTGTCCGATGGCAGCGGCAGCAGAGGGTCAGACGGGGGAGGCAGGAAGGCCGCTCACCCACGTATCTCTTCCCCTCGCGCTCTGTCTCTCTCTTCCTCCACTCTCAAACCTCTCTCCCTCGTGTGTTTGTTAAGTTTTGTATGTCTAAAGGGTTCACAGAGCAAGAAGAGAGGGCGAGTTCAGGGGGTCGCAAGGCTGGTCACTGCCGCTGGTGCGTTGGGCGCCGGCGAACGCGGAGACCTCCGGGCAGGTGAGGACAAACGAGGAAGTGTACGAAGGGTTAACAACAGGGAAGGGGTCGCCGAGGACTTGAACTTCACTGTGTGTAAAGAGAGAAGCTGTCAGGTTGGGGGCTGCGTCTTGGCTGGTCTGGAAGGGCAGGGGCGGTGGTGGCGGGGGCGGCAGCAGCCAGCCGAAACCATCTTCCTTAGCGGATGCGGACCCCGGCAAATCTCTCACCTCCGCCAGCGGGCCAGGCCCCGGCCCCTCTTCGAAGGGGATCTTGCAACCCGGTTTGTGCGCCACCAGCACAAACTCCAGACGTTCCTTCTCCTTTTGGAGCTCTGCGATCTCAGACTCCAGCTCGGCTTTTTCTTCCTCCAGCTGATCTGTTTCCTGAAGAGCCCCCCAAGCGAAGCCACGTTGAAGAGGAGGAGGAGGAAGGAGAAAAAGGCCGTCAGCAACCAGAGCAAGCGGCGTACTCCTGAAACCTTCTCTAGGCTCAGAGGAAAACCAACCTGTTCCCTCAGAGGGGCCTGGCAGGCTATGGTGTTGGTGCGAGCCTTTTTGCCTGCTCAGAGTCTCAGTTTTCCCCATCCGACAAGTGGGTGGTTAAGTGCGCGCATGCGCAGGAGGCATTCTGAGGTCTGACGAGTGGCTGAATGACTATGTCATTTCATGTGAACTGTTCCCCTCTTTCCTCATTCTCTCACCCTCCTAGGGGAAGTCTATCAGGCTGAAGGTAAAGGGGAGGAGTCCTTAGTCTCCTCAAGGGTCACCCCGCAGGACACTGTATAGTGTTCACTGAGGTAGAGAGTGGAAAAGGAGGGGGCCTAGGAGTCAGTGGCCCCTATCTAAGGTCTGAAAATGATGAGTGGCTGGGGACAGATGACAAGGAATTGATACAAAGGGAAAAGGAATTGGAAAGAATGTAGTAGAATGGAGCCTGGGAAGAGGGGTGGTCGTTGAGAAGGGACTGAAGATGTGGAGAAACTGAGGCCACAAGGACTCAGTGCTTGCCCAAGACCAAAAGGGTGAAACCCTCATCGTACCCTTTCTGTTGAGGGACCCCCATATGCTCCTGCAAATGAAGTAAAAGCCGGGAGAGTGGCCTGAGGTAGGAGGTGTAGGCCCAGGCAGGGCACGGTCAAGGGTCCACATAAGTATGTGGGGGCCCCTCTATGGCACAGGGTTACCCCCTCGGGCTACATCTGCACCTAATTCCACATACGGCACCTCATGTTCTCAACCCTGGTGAGGGAAGAGAGAAAGGGAACTAGGCCCCACTTCAGCTGCCCCTCAGTCCACCCTGGGGTCCGTCCTCACCGCCTGCAGCCGGTCCGTCAGCTCCCGTCGGCGGTTCCTGCACTTGGCTGCTGCCAGCTTGTTTCGTTCCCGGCGAACCCTTCGCTTCTCCTCTTCCTCAGGCGTGAGCTGAGTAGGGGAGATAGAGGCCATGAGGTTTGGGGACAGAGTGCACCTCTTCCCCCCACCCTAACCTCTTCCTCTTCTTCTAGCACCTTCAGAAGCCAGAAAAGGGTCTGTAGTCCCCACCGGCTATATAAGAATGCTATGGTTTCTGCAGCCTTGAAACCTCAGTGCCCACCCCATCCCAAAAGTGAGAAAGTTCCTGCCACTCTTGTTTCCTGCCCTCAGACTAAGTTGTAGTGGCCCTTGCTCACCGTCTCCTCCGGGGCTCTCCTGGGCCGGGCTCGAGTTGGGCGGACAGGCCTAGGTCCGCTGGCTGCTCCACTGGTCGAAGGCCCACCACTGCCACTTGTTCCACCACTGCTGTAGCCACTCATGCCCGGTGTGGAGTAGCTGGTCCCCGGCATGTCATAGGGGTCGACGGGCTGGGAGGCCAGTGGCTGCCCCTGGGACTGGGCCATGGAAGAGATGAGGGTGGGTTGCACGAGCCACTGGAGGTCCTGGCTGGTTGTGATCGCGGTGACCGTGGGCACGAAGGAACCGGGCATTTCCCCGAGACCGGCGCACTCCTACGGGGTGACACATACACACACAGGCGTAGACACACAAACAGAGACACCGACACACACACGCCCAACACACATACACACACCGACCCCGTGAGTTAGCACAGGGCGAGCGGGTGTGGATGTGTGTGTCACAGGCAAAAAGCCACAACACCCACCCTTCCACTACACCGTGACGCAGTGGTTAATGAGGATTTCTGCTCAACTGGCTTCTCCCTCCTCCTCCTCCTTCCTCGGGGAAAGGTTGCCCGGTTCCAGCGGGTGGTGAATCACACCCCGGGTTGGTGACTCTTAGGTGGGGGGGTGGGAGGAGGCTGGACACAGCCGGGTGACAGAATCCCCGGGAAGGAGCCACAGCCACACACAGCCACAACACCCCACCCCCACCCCAGAGGCAAGGGGAGGGAGGGGGAGAGGCCTGAGGCCAAGCCTTTCTGTATACATACATACATACACACTCCTGTGTGCAGGAGCTAAAGGCTGGTTGAGAGGGCCCAAGAGACCCCCGTGCAGGGTTGGGGGTCCTAGCTAAAATGTTGTTGGGGGACAGGTCTAGGAGTTGAGAACATTTCAAGTAACTGTCTCTCCCCAGAGTTAGACTGACAAGTGACAGGTTAGAATGGACCGACAGGTAAAGTGATGGTCCCCGGAGCTTGTTCAGACTCTCAGGGAGGGAGAATGTCTGTAGGTCGAGAGCCCTCCAGTCTCAACCGGGACTTATCTGGCCCTCTGCACCTGGAAATAGAATCCTAAACCTGTACCCAAAGGCTTAACTACTCTCCCGGGGGGCGTGGTGAGGGACGGGCTGGCTCACCGGCCAATCAGCGTCCTGGGAACCCAGAAGAGGCGGGGCTCCCGGAGACCACCTGGTTGGTTGCCCCTTGGGTTAGTCCTAGCTTCAGACACACCCGAGGGACGGGGTGTCCAGACCAGAGGGAGTGCGTGTGTGTCTGGGTGTGCCTGGAGACGTGGCTGACAGTTTCCATGTCTCCAGAAGAAACTCCGCCACACACACAGACACCCCCTACCAGTAAAAGTAAAGGGGATTGAATCCCCGCACGGTCCTCGTGGACCCATCGGGTCTCAAAAGGTCGTGCCTGTCGCGACAGGAACCCCTTTGCTCTGCCTCGAGAGGCCTGTAAAAAGATTCCAGCACCGCGGAAACACGGGCCGGACGACAGAGCGGGGGAAGGAAACTGCGCCCTACAAATAGGAAGGGGAACCTGATTGGCCAAGACTGGAGCCACAGCGTCCAATCAGAACGCCGGACTGCCCCCTCCCTTAGCAACGTGGCCACGGCGTTCCAAAATAGAACGTTCCCGGGACGTCAGGGGCGGGGCGGACGAAGGGGGCGCCGTGCGTGCCCCGCGTCAGACGGAGGATTCCAGCGCGTCAGCCGTTACGCACGGGTCCCCCCGTTACGTCTCCGCGCAGGAGGCGGAGGCAGTGTGGCGGAGGGTTCGAAGCCCGTTCTCCCGCTGAGTGGAAGGCAACGGAGCGCCGGAGTCGGCACTCTGACGGAGGAAGAAAGCACTGGAGACTGCAGGAAGCTTTCTCAAGACTGCCTTTACCAACCTAACCACGCTAACTTCGGGTTGGGGACCTGAGCTGAGGACAGTCTCGGAGCCTAAAAGTTCTCAGACCTTATACAGCATACACATTGCACTGAGAGGCGCATTCTTCCTCCCCCTCCTCAACCTCGCTTGGCTACATTCCCTCCCAGCGCTCCACAAACACGACCAATTAATTGCAAGCACATGTTTTGACTCTTAGTAGTTTGCAAAGAATGCTGTGAGCCGATTGCCTTTAAGGTCGTGGATTTTGGCGGGGTTTTATTTTTTTCTTTTTCGCGGGGAGCAGGTCTCGCTCTACTCTTGACTTAACCCCCAAAGCCCACAAAACAGCATCTTAAACTCTCTGGAACTTACCTGGGAGGAGGCGGCGGTGGGTGGACTGCCGAAGGAGTCCACCGATGACAGATACTGAGACTCGGCGGAGGGCGAGGAGCTGCACCGGGATCCGGAGTCGTAGTCTCCAGGGAAAGCTTGAAACATTTCCCTGGGCACAGGGGGAGCCCTGTGACCACGCTGGGGTCGTCGGGAAGCCAAGGCTATAGCCGGGTGGGAAAAGAAAGATACGAGTCCGGGGTGAGCCCAGCGCGTCCCCAAAGTCCGCTGTCCGGGGATACTTGCTGAGGGGGTTCCACCAAAGTTCTGTGTAGCTCGTCCGCGATGTCCAGGTCTCACCAAGATTCTGCTGTGCTCCTGAAAATCCAGGCTCTGGAACACTCAAAAGTGCGGGGGGCCGCTCCCCCAGCAGCGGAAAGTGCTGTCCCGCTTTGCAGAATCCGCTTCAGGTGCGGTCTCCTCCACGCGTCCGCCGAGTTCCACGGAGGCTTGGGGTCAATAAAGAGAAAGTAATTCGCTCCTTCAAAACAAAACGAAGAATTTTCTAAAAGAATCCTTCTCCAAAAACTTTCTTTCCGGAAAAAAGAATAATCAACCGGATATCACAGCTCCCGAGAAGAAGAACCACAACAATCAAGTCCCCAAACCCGGTTCCTCGTGTCCCCTTCGTGGCCGTAGTTCTCAGTCTTATGAATGAAGCCCAGTGCCGCAAGCCTGTATTTATATGCCAGGGACCCGCCTCCTTGCTTACGTCACTCGCACCGCCTTCCGCAAACTTCCCAAAATCTCCGGTTTCATTGAATTGAGCCCCTTAACTCCCGGCCAAAGGTCTTTTCTAACCTCAATCTGGTCATCTGAATGATTTTTGTTGCCTTAGGGGTCTCAGGGGCTGCTCTGGGGGGCGCACGGCGGGAGGGGATTCCGACTCGTCTCCCCGGAGTTCCTGTGACGCAATTAGCCATATAAGGAGCTCGGCCGGGCAGGCTGAGTGTTTGTTTGGTATCCTAGCAATGACGTCAGAGGGAATCCCTCGCTCGCTCGCGCACCCCTTGCGCCTGCGGAACCCGCCCGCGCCTGCGCAGTGCCACGCCGCCCTGGGGCTGGTATTAATAGGTGCTTAAGCTTGTCGGGGGAAGACCCGAATGACCCAGGCGGGGAAGACCCTAACAGAAGGGTCTCCTGTACGTCTGAGGGAGGGCCCTCCTCCCTATTCTCTCGGTTAGTGCAGTGCCCTCCGCTGGAGAGGAAGGGCAAGTCTCCACAAAGACACACACACGAAATGTGTACACTTAAGCGGGGAAACTGAGTCCGGATCTAAGTGAGAGGGTCGTACCACCTTTTGCCTTGAAACATCTGGAGGGTTTAGGCAATGTTTCGCTTCTCAGTTTGCTGAGCGTCAGTTTGCTCAATTGGACAAAGAGCTTGTGTTTCTAACTCCGTGCGCCTCTCCGAAGCAGGAGATTTAAGGCAAATGGAAGGGGGATCTTTGGGGTGAAACGTCCCTGCTGACAGTTCTAGGACCGCGCCTTCGCGCTTTATAATCCATTCTGGAGACGGGGAAGGGAGGAATGTAGAGGCAATTAAAAATTAATACAGTTTAAAAAAACCCTCCAAAAGCCAGAACTCGTGTAAAGTGGAAACCTGTCAGAGGTAGAAAAAAAAAAAAAAAGTAGTTATTTTCTACTAAAAAGAGGCAAATGGCATATGCCTGTCAGTCAGGTGACCCTGGGAGATCCTGCTAAACAAGGTAGTCATGTGGAGCTCAGGCTTTCACAGTTTTCCCTGTAATAGTAATTGTTGCTGTGTCACTAGTAGCGTGGTCTGTTGAAGGTTCGAATCCACGAGCCGGAGAAATATGTGCAATCTCTGCTCTGCTATTTATAGTCTCTGAAAATCTGAGGAAGGGTCAGTTGTGAATCAGTTCCGACTCGATTGGAAATGAGAGAGTTTTCTCATGTTTTAGACTTCCAGGACAAACTTTATAATTCTTAAAACAGATTTGGAAGGTTAAGGGGGAAATTGTCCGTAGGTGGAGGGGAGTTAAATGATTTACCCACAAGCCTGTGCGAAAAGTTCAAATCCAGAATAGTTAAACCTCAGAGCTCTTCTTAACCTTGGATCCTTGAGCATTTCATGATCCACTGACACTTACTGTAAAACCTGAGCCTGGGATTGTTTAAATAATAAAAACTCGCACTGGCCCACACGTTCACAGCATGTATATTGGGGCTCTGTGGGAGGGAAGGCAGCTTATTTGAAGCCACCCAAGGAGAGTATGGGATTCAAAAGTCTAGCTCACTGAGGCCACAATAATCCTGAATTTAGAATCTGCCTCTGGAAAGGGTGCTTTTAGAACTTTCCCCCTCAACACTGAGTCAGGCATAGCCCCCAACACATTAAAATTATTGCATCCCAGAAAGGGATAAAGCTTGGCTGAGGGACACCTGACACACAGACCAGTAGCAGAATGTGAAAAAAGAGTGGTGGCTGGTTTCCAGGGGTCCAGTTCCCAGCATATTAGGGAGTATGGGGAGAACAGAATAAAAGGCTGAAGGATTTGAGAATGGTTGAGGTTTCCAGATGAAAAGTAGCCCTCCGCCTTTCTCCTCCCTCTCACTCTGCTGACCACTTGCAGGGAGGAAGGGACAGGGACTAGAGGATGACACAGCAGACACCTGTGGGCAGTGACTCGGCCCCAGCATCAGACAGGGAGTGACCCCCTAATCCTCCAGCCTCCTCTAAGCCCCTCATCTCTGCTCCCACTCTGCCTTGGGAGTCAGAGAAATCCAGACACCTACCTGGCTACCCAAAGACCTTCACACCCCTACACAGATGACACATCCATCCACACCACCACCAGCATATGCTCACAGGCCACTGGCCACACACCCAGGCATTCAGACAGCCCCATCTACTCAATATACTCAACACGCCTGGTCATAGAGAGGAACAACTTCACAGACACATGTAGAGGCCTGAGTCCTCACACAGTTACCAACATATCTCTCACGTGTGTAAGACACACATATGTCTTCGTTCATGCCCACTCATGTGCACACACACACACACACACACACACACACACACACACATTATCCATCAAATGCATACACACATTCATATACGCTCACACACATACGTATTGTTGTTAGGTGCCATTAAGTCTACTACAACTCATGCCGTTTGTTGTTGTTGGGTGGTGTCGAATTGAGTACAACTCATAGCGACCCTATGAACAACAGATCGGAACCCTGTCCTATGCTGTGCCATTCTCACCACCGTTTTAGTCTCCGTGTTCACCCATCTCATTGAGGGTCTTCCTCACTTTTGCTGACCCTCCATGTCTCCAAGCATGATATCTTTCTCCAAGGAAGAACCTCTCCTAACAACATTCCCAAAATATGTGGGACAAAGCTTTACCCATCTTGCTTTAAAGAGCACTCTGGCTACACCTTCTCCAAGTCGTATCAGACGTACCTTGTTCTAGCCTCATGATCTCTGTTATGCTCCAGCCCAGTGTTACATCTTGTTGAAGGTCTTATGTCCACCTTTTGCCTGTGCAGAGACACACGGGGTCTGTCAAATGCACACACATACACACACACTCACACACTCACTTGTTCACACAAACTCACAGTCTCCATTCACACACATACACACTTTTCACATTACACTCACAGTCTCAGATGCACACAGAGAGATGCTTACACATACGCCTTCAAAATAAAACCCAGTCCACCGCCACCTCAGTGGGTTCTGGGCCGCGGCAACCCTCCATTGAGTTTCTGAGGCTATAAATCGTTATGGGAGGAGACTGCCTATCTCTTCCCTGAGGAGCAGAGGATGGATTTGAACTACTGCACTTTCGGTTAGTAATCTAACACACTATGCCAGGATTTCTCTCCCTTAAAGGCACATGAAGATGCTCACATGCACTAGCGCGCACACACGCCCTATCTCCCTGAGGCCCACTGGAGGATACTCCTGGACACTTGCACACACCCTGTCTCACCCTCACAAGCTCCCTTATGCCCATAGGCCATGGACAAGGCAAATCTGTCTCAGTGGAGCTCGGCCAGCAGACCTTGCAGGAGGAAGAAGACTTCAGTGAAGGAAGAAGGCAGTACCCATTACCCTGGCTCCCCAGGCCACGGCTCTGCCCTGGGAAGGGCTCATCTCCTGCCCCCACAGGCTGCGCACAGTGGGTGGGGTAACGGGTGCTGGGTTCAGCTGTACTCTCTCAGAACATTCTGGTAACAGCCTCAGGCAGGTGCTGCCGAAAGCAGGCCTCATCATGCCGACCCACCCTTCCCTTGGCAAATTCCCTGCTGCTCTCTTCCTCAGTTTCCCCATCTGTAGAAAAGGAAGATTGGATGATGGCCCTTCCAGAAGTTCCCAAGGAAGCTCTGAGATAATAATAAAAAGGAGTAAATAATAATAAAAAAGGAAGAGTAACAATAAAAAGGAGGAGAAGGAGGGAGCAATTGGAAACAAATATTTATTAAGCATTTTTTATGTGCTGCACAGAGTCCCAAAGACTTTATGTTTATTATCTCCCTTACTCCTCAAATCAGGTTCATAAGTGGGTTCTGGGACAGCCCCTAGTGCGTTATGGAATAGACCCATTGTACAGAAAAGGAGACAGAGGCACAAGAGGTAAGCCTGAGAACAGTGCTTCCAAGGCTATCAACCAGTACAGGACTCGCCCAGCGAAAATGCGTCTTCCAGTGCACGATAATGTAACTTCCAGTGCCTGTGTTTGTAGCAAGTTCCCTAGACACCCAGGCTGGGGCTGCCTGGACCATCCTGGGAGGAGAAGAGGCTGTGAGCGCTTCAGGGAATGTGGGTGGTCGGTGGGCCATGTGCACGTACATGAGCGTGCCTGTGTCCCCTTGACCTGTGACCTCTCTCTTTATTGTGGAAAATATCGAAAGCAACACAATTGTCATATTTCAATTTTTCTTGCATGAACCAATCGGCGGCGTAAGGAGCCCTGGTAACTATCAGTGGCCAACTGAAAGGTCGGCGGTTTGAATCCACGAGCATCTTGTGGGAGAAAGCTAGGCAAGGGTCCTCCAGTAGAGCTTTACTTCCTCAGACACCCTATGGGGACAATTCTACTCCATCCTACAGGGTCCTTTTGAGTGTATTGACAGCAGTGGGGGCTTGGTCCTGCGTCTGGCAACCATGAGTCAACTTTGGTCTGTATCTATTTGCCATTTTTAGGTATTTCATCTAAATAGAGTCTTTGTCCTTTTGTGACTGATGTACC